CTGACAGTAGTAGTTTACTTATATTGTGTACTTGTATCATATATATATATATATATATATATATATATATTACTTCTCTTAGTAATAACTGTCTATCTTATTAATGTAAAAACTTGTATCATACAACCAAATTGTCTATAATGTTTGTTCTGTTTTCAGTAGCCTAAACTATTGTTATTCTTCTGCAAAGTAACATAATATAATAACTGCAAATTTATTAAAAAAGTAAAATCTGATTCTTATTATGGTTAATATTAGATAGGAGTAAGATGAGAAATACACACATGCACCAAATTAGAAATTATTATCACTTGGTGAATTTCACATCATAAATGTATAATTGTAAAATAAGTATAAAGAAAAATGTATATTGCTAAAAAAAAAGCTATGTAGAGCTTGCTACTGAACTTGAAAAAAGGAACTAAACAAGATAGGGATGGAAGTAGATTTATCACTTGATCAGCTAATGTTCACATAGCAGATTAAGCTGTCTCGACTTTACATGGAGAATAAAATCCCTACCTTCCTGGATACCCCACTTTGTCTGTTGAAAGCTTGGTGTTTGAATAGAATCTCATCTTTCAACATTATACCTTTCCTTTAGTTAACTTTAGAATATTATTTTTATGGCTATTTTACAATAAATTAACCTTTTTATGACTGGTTTTATTTGTTTTGCCAGTGAGGAAGCCTTTAATGTAGGGATTTTATTCTCCATGTAAAATTGAGACAACTTAGTGTGCTATGTGATCATTAGCCAGATCAAGTGGTATGCCCACTTCCTTCCCTATCTTGTTTCATTCCTTTTTGTAAGTTCAGTAGCCAGCCCTACATAGCTTTATTATTTAGCAATAATTTTTTTTCCTAATACTTTTTTGTATAATTTTTTATAAGATTGGTACTTGGTTACAGAGTGTATTCTAAAGCTTTATAAATTTTGCATAGAATAATAATAAAATAGGTAGTCAAAGAAGCTTCACAATAAATCACAACACCATGTTCCTGTTTGAATTTATGGTAAACAAATGATCAGGTTACAGCCATGTGTAACATCTTGAGCTTGAATTACTGATTGACTGAACTAATGAAATTTAAAATTTATGTTTTGTTACCTAACCTAGAATTTTCTAAGTTTTACATAGGAGTACTTTGTTAAAATATCTATATAATAATAATACAGTTGTTCGTTTGTCCGTTATGGAAATGACGTGTGCATGCATGTGTATTTAGATAGTAAGGTGCATGCTCATTATCATGAGAGACAAAAACTGTGTAGTATTATAATAGACTAGCAGAGACTCGCAAGACATTTACACTCAGATTAATGTATTTATTGCAACAATACTTCTTTAAATACAGAATTTCCAGAATAATACAAAAGAATTCTAATTGCAGACACTGAAATCTTGTCATACTGTAATTCTGCTGTCTGTACTTTTTATAATCATGTGCAGTAAGAATTTTACCCAGAAAAACAGTGCAAGCACTTACCTGTGCCAGAGAGCTGGAAAGCTCAACAAAAAAGAGACTATAACTGTTCTGTGAATGAAGGAATAACAAGAAAAAGTAGATGTAAATATTCTTTATTAACCATTTAGTAAAATAACATCAAAAGCTTGAAGTTGTCAAAAAGGTCTATGTTAGGTCCTAGAATACATAATAAATATATTTATAGATAGTATTAAGTACAATATAGTTTAGGCCTAACATTAGTTAAGGTTTTATAAAGTGTGACCTAGATACAAGTGGACTTGCTCATTTGAGTGCCTATAATTACATTTCTTTTGTATTGTTCTACAAATCTTGTATTTAAAGAAATACTGTTGCAATAATTATACTAATTTGACAGCAAACATTTTGTGGATCTCTACTAGTATTTAATATCAAATAAAAAATATACATAAAAAAAAACAAGAAATTTAGCACTTACATCTGATGCTATGGGGCACAGTAGCTCTACTTTTTTCTCATTAAATTAGTTATTAAAATAAAAATTCATATAGCTTTCAAATATGCATTTTAGAATATAGAACATATCCGGTATTAGAGTGGAATGTCACAAAACTACTGTCATTTAACTGGCTTTTCTAGCTAAGCTTAAAACAGTTAAAAACTTTTAGTTGCTCAGAGTTGAACAACAACAATCACAGACAAAGAATCTAAGGTCAACTGTCTGTGTATGCCCACTAAAAGGAAAGGGCTTGTCTGGTGGGTTTGCAAATTTATTGATATCTCAGCAAATTGAGAAGACAGAAGGCTCAAATATTATATTCTGGCCTTTTACTATCTATAGTTTGTGTTTCTAAATGGCTGGACACTCTTAAAGCCCTATTTGGGCAGATAGAAAATCTAAAAAGGAGAATTCAGAGTGGAAACTCGTCAGGACACAAACAAATGAAGATTGAAAATTTATTTAACTATTTCATTTTAAATTAAGAAATTAAAATTTATACAAAACTAATCATAAACTAAATTTTGATGCCAAGTTTATTAACATACATTGATAATAAATTTATTTAATTAAATTTTGAATGTAATCTACAAGTTTGTGAGTGCACTTTGACACACTATTGTACTGAAAGAGTTAATCTTAGAAGTAAGCCTTGTTATTAAACAGTTACAGGCATAGCAGACCAAATATCTGTGTGTCTAAATTCTAAATGCATTTTTTTAATCCTGAGTGTGCCTTGTGCTTGATGACTCTTTTTGGTTACATTTTGAAACGAGTTAGTTGTTGTTGTTTTTAATAAAAAAAAAAACTGAAATGTTTGTTTAATAGTTTCTAGTGGAGTAAAAAATTCCCCATTAAGTTCAGAAATTTAATTTCAGTAGTTTTGCTTTCAACTAAACTGACCTGGTTAAGCAGAAAAACATCGACATTATGCATTTAGGAACAGTCCACATTTTGAAACTATGATTTTCTATAGCTTTTCATTGTCATTTTTGGCACAGTATTCACAATATCTCCCATATTCTAGCACTTTATTAGAGAATGGGAGAACATGTACAGTAATTTTCCAAATATAATAAGCACTCAGTTCTTTATCAATAGAGAGTCAAATTTGCCTTATTGCCATAAATAATATGCACTTACACTTGTAATAAAGCAGTCAAAGTAACCCTTTGATGACTAAAATGTTAGAGTGTCCATATGATCTGTAGTGATTGCTATGTTGCAATTGTGGTTGGCCAATAAGCATTCCCAAAATTTATTTTCAGCCAATGTTCATTAGTCATGCAGTTTTGAATATCAGACATAATGTAGCAGTAACTAGTTTTGTATTTCCAAACATTTCTAAATATACATGTAAATAAACCTTAAAAATCACACAACTTAGCTTCTTGATCAATTAATTTAAACATCATGTTTACATACTGAAAATGAATGAAAATGGGAGACAATTCTCATTTATACCTTAGAAACAGAGAGACTCAATAAGACACCAATCGAAACACAGCATTTCTAGTATGTATGCATTATTTTTCACAATGTGTGTCAGAAAAGATGGTCTAGATTGCTGTAAGAAAATAAATAAATTAGATTTGCTAACATATATGTACCATTACCTCTAGATAAAATTTTACGGGAAAAAATGCATATCATATTGGGAAAATTACAGTAGTATTTTTTTATGACATGATGTGTCTTATTTTACCTGAGATCCCAAAATTGGATGGAGTCAGTCATTTTCATTGTTCCTCAGTCCACTGCATATTTTGTGTCCTGGCATTCAGCTCATTTTCTTTTTGAAGTTCTTTGGTAACATTGCAAACTTTCAAGTTTTTATGACAGTTTGTCAGATTCATTATCAAGTTGGCTAGCATTCTTCCTTCCAGAATGTGGATAATTTACTCTAGCCAGTTTTGTTATTTATTTCTGCTTCTCACTGTTATCTCTTTACACTCGGAGTTTCATTACTTGTGACATTGTACAGACGTGCATTCTACAGTGTAAAATTAAATGTTAATACTGAAAGTTGTAGTGGTGATCTATATATATATATATAGCTGTATTATACATTTACAAAATGATTTTTATTACTTGTATATACGAAATAAAAAAATACCTATATATATATTAGACTGAAAAAATTAAATGCTTACATATTTTTAAGGTCAGTTGTAAAAGTGTTTGGACATAACTGTATATGTATAATAAACATTCTATGCTATTTAGATCTAGTCAGTAATGTTTTACCTTCTTGAAGCATTCACTACAGAATTTTTTATTTTATTTTTAAGACTTTGGATCATTCTTGCCTGAAGAAGTCAAATCCTGCCATGGATCTCCACTGCTGACAGCTCAGGACATGTTTGATATGTAACTAATTACTAAAATTAACATTTCAATGACTATCTAATAATTAAGGCAAGATTTACTACAATTCATTTTGACAGGGAACATTTTACTGGACCCAAGCAGGTCTGCAACAGTTTAGGTTGTACTTTATTCGACAATGGGATGTTTGGAAAAGTTCTTCGGTATTTTGTGCATGATAATTCTTACTTTTTAACTTTAAGTGGATTATTGAACTAATAAATATGGATTAGCATTATTTTAAAATTGTGTTTAATATTCCATAACTGATCTACAGAATGTTAGAAACCACTGTTGAAAACTTATTGCATTACATAGATCATTTACAATGCTTACATGAAATGATAATCATGACCTAAGTATTACATTGAGAATGATTGTAATAATATTGGCACATTTATATCTGTTTCCTATCTCTAATCAAAGTCAAACTTCATTTGACATGCCAGTAGTAGATTCTTACAGACTTACAAGTGTAAGAAGTGTCTTGTACTTTCCCACCAGAAAAATGATTATTGGATGATGTCACTTCTTGAACATTCTTGACTTTGGACCATATAAATATTTCCATCAAAAACTTTGTTTAAGTTTTTAGAACATTTAAGACTTCAATGTTGGTAAAATTTTCTATCCATTAATAAAGAATGATTTTCTCTTTTGATTGTTTTACAGTATTTTAGATTTACCACCTAGGTGAAGCAGACTAGTGGTAAAGATAAAAATTAAGTCCATAGTTCTTTACAACAGTAAATATTTTTATGGGGGAATCCTACTCTTGGACTAGAATAGCTCACAATTTAGCAGGTTAATCAGCTGTCTTCATTCTGGTCTATGACTTCAAAATTAGGGATAGTTAGTGCAACTAGCCCTTGAGTAGCTTAGCACAAAATTCAACAAACAAAATTTTATGTAGGTATAGAGTTAGTACCATGGATGCTGAATTCTAATCATTTGCAATACTGGTACTAGGGTTCTTGCAAGTTTATGAACAGAACTAATAGATGAAACTTATTAGTATAGATACATTTAAACTCTTAAGATTATTTCTTGTTATCGGGCACACAATTGTCCAACTAGATTCCAAACATAAAGAATGAACTGCTACCAAAGTAGAAAGAAATTCACTTGCTTTCTATTCACCTTATCACTGTATAATTTGTTTACAATTTTTGTGAAAAGTCTGTAGACAACTTTATGTTACAAGCCCAAAATTAAGCATATGTAGTCAATTTTAGAAATATTACAAACAGTATAACAAAGGTACTACATGACATGAATCACATTAAATCTACAGTTTTGGAAAATGTTTGAGGGTGGGGCAAAGTATATTACACCTGATCTCTTCTTTTATGATTGGCTTTTGAACAGTGATAAGTCTTTAATTTTACATTATACTTCACCACACCTATAAATGTTTAACATAAACACTTACAAAAATGTCACTCTTTACTTTAAATAACATACTAGCTTATCAAACACTGCAGTTTCAGAAGTTCCTCATAAATAATTGACATGTGTATAAATACATCATTTTGAGGTTTTTATTTCCATCTCAGCATGTTTCTCTTTAATTGCCTTCCTATAGGTATTAAACTTTATACTTTTTTGACGATGTTTACTCTGTTTTTCAAGCTATGAATGTACGCACAATGATGTTCTTTGTCTTGTGTCCCCAGACCCTTTTCTAGCCCACTGCTTCCCTCCACAGCATGCTAAAATCAGTTACATTGAGCCTCCTACGTAAAAGTTTTGATAATATACTGCTGATAGACCCCTAAGGACTCAGTACAGTCTGAAAAATGTCTCTGAACCCCAAACAGAAGACAGGAGCAGTCCTTAGTAAACTATTAAATTCCTTCACTGTAGATTGAAATCATTCAATATCCAAAGTTTTAAAACATCGTAAGTAAATTTAAGTTCAGGGTAAATAAATAATTATAACAGAGAAGTCATTTGTATGAAATTAACATATATAATAATGGAAATAATTATGAAAAAGTAAAACAATACAAATAAAAGATTTATAAACAATTATGGAAACTAGACTGTCAATTATTAATGGTACAAAACTTTACAGAAAATAAAGCAAGCAAGTTCAACAATGCACTAGTATTTTCTATGTGAGATCTAAGCTTTATACAGAGCAGTACACTTTTTTGTATGCTACCATTCAATTTATCAGTATGCATTTTGTGCAGGCTAAGCAATGGCTGTGTGTGTTCATTGATCTCTTTACAACAACATTTACTTTATGCTGGAAGTTGAATTCCTGCCTGTTAAGTCTTGTCCGGAGGAAATGGCATTATGTAAGAGAATTTTTGTGTTCTTGTCAGCAGTCAAGGTGCCATTATTTTGTGTCAATCAAAGACACTGTTCACTGAAATGCAGCCCAAAACTTGCAATGATCCACCAACATTCTTCACTATATAATACCATTCTTTTCATTGCCGTAATATAAACTGATGGATTAATCTATAAAGATCAAACGTCTCCAACTTTGCTCATTCCACCATTTATAGAACTATGCCAATTTCAATATTCTTTTAGCTTGGTTACCTCTTCTCAGAAGCAGTTATATGTCAATCGAGATAATTTTGTGCTGACGTTTGGCTTAATGTTCATAATGTAACAGTTACATCTGTGCTTGATTGATGTCCGATATTTCCTAGTTTAATATTTTTTACCATTGAAAAAAGACAACATCTATAATTTCGAAAAGAACGACTTTTAATTGCTCTTAAAAAATCATAAATACAGAGCAAAAATGATTTTCTTTATATATAAATAATTCTAATTCTCAGGATATACAATGACATACTTAATGGAAATTTATTTCAGACTGACATTTCTGGTCACACTATTGTAGCAGTCAAAGGAGAAACAAAATCTAATAATCTACAGAAGTAAGATATTATGTTTATATATAGTCAAAAAACCTAAATGTTGTTAAGACAATATTTAATAAATGATTTCTATAAATTGCTAGTTTTTTTTTTACTCACAACTATAGTCTTTAGATATTGCAAGGTTTCAATTCCTACTTTTGATGAGCAGTTTTTTTTTTGTTTATTTTACATAGACAAATCTTTGAAAGTCAATCCATATTAGTCAAATCACAGAGTTGAAATGTGTTTTGATCTTCCCATCAAAATCTTGAGTTAAAGTAACTTTGTAACTCATTAAATCATTAACAAAATGAGAGTTATTTTACATTGCAAGCCATGTACATTTGAAATTACTTAGTAAGGAAAAATGTACAATTTCATAAATTCAGAGTATGATTTATTACTAATAATTTCATACATTTTTCATCATGGTTATGATAAAGTGAAATTGAGTGAACTCTTATACACGCACATATGACACAAGATTTGTATAGCAGTTTCAAAATGTTTCCATTGCCAATTTTTCCACCTTAATGCAGATGATTACAAGATATTAGAAAATAACCTAGTTATTGGAATGCCACTCAAGAAAAAAGGGGCTTATATGCACTGAAGCTTAACCACATCTTCAGTGTATGTATTAACCATGAACTCGGTATATGAACATGAGAGTATCACAGAATACATTATTCCTGTTTTCATTTAACATATAACAACAAGTAGATGTACAACAACTGCAGAAATGCATGCACAAAACAATTTTAACTTTAAGAACTAGCAGTTTAAAAGTTAACACAATGCAAATCTTAAATTTCACCTTCTACTACCATGTCTATAGGAAATTAAACTCTCCTTATAACTAACAACTATTTGTATTGTTAATCTACAAGCCGACTTTTAAAATTACAAAATAAAATGCAAAAGGAATAATAAAACACCATGTTTGCCATTCTCACAAATTTTTTATAAAAAAATATATATTTAAGGATCCATGGCCATTTAAAAAGAGAGAGAGAGCTTTCTATAATAGAAATATGAGAAATTTAAGGCAGTAAATGAACAATCATTTGCAAACACTTCATTACTATTACAAAGTAAAAATTAAATAGTAATATCTAGTTGATTAGAACTTTTACTAACTAAGGTATTTTGTTAGAAAAATATACCAAAAAGTTTATTTTACAATTTCAATTACTAAACTTTTATGATGAAACTGTTAAACAGTCTACAAGAAGAACAAATCTAAGCTGTATTCATTGAAGCCCTGGTTGTTGAGTCACCAGAAATTGAGTATGTTAACTATTAATAAAAAACAGAACATTTTACAACACTGAGTTATGTATAAATGCTGATATACTTTTTAAAAAAAGGTATATATATTTTATACAAAGATGCTAAATGTCATAAATCACAGATAAAAATAAAAAAAGTATTAAATAAACATTAGTTTTCTCTTAACATAGTTAAATGTGTTTTTTAATAGTATATCTAAAATATTTGTAAGGGAAACTACATTCTTCTTCAGAATATATTGTATAAATCACAACACCTGAACAGCTACCCAGTTTCATGCAGTATGTTGATTTGTCTTTATTGTTGTTATCAAACAGATGATAACCCACTTTCTAATCCGAAGCTGCTTTTTGTTTTTTCACATATTAACCTAGAATAGAAAATATAAATAATTAATTTTTATCACAAAAGATTTCAATATAAAAAAAGCACATGCGTGTGTGTTTTTTCAATGTATTACTATGTAATGTTCTATAAATGACACCTGCCTGGGTGATACTCTCAATGTTTTTGGAATATTTCATTCATCTGAACAAAAATAAGTAGTCTGACAGAAAAAAAAGGCAAACCTTGTACACACATACAAAACAAAAGAAATCAAGTTTTACAAGCAAATCTAAATAATTGTTCTTAAATATATTTAGCATGATTTGCAGACTTATTTATGTTAAGGACATCTATCAATTCTTTGTAAGGAAGAACAAAAAATTATTTTAAATATTCTTAATTTTTTACACCTTTTGTAATCCTTCGCTGTGTGGTTTGCAGAATACTAAAAATAATAAAACAGACTAGCAGGTTTAAGTTTTTTCAGTGCATTACTATGTAATGTTCTCAAAATGACATGTACACCTGCCTTAGGGGATATTTGCAATGTTTCTAGAATATTTCATTCATTTATGAAGATCTAACAGAAAAAAGGCAAAGTTCGATTTTGACAAAGCTATGTTTTTGAAATCCAATACTAAGTAAATGTTGAAATTCACATTTTTGTAAAAGCCAATACTGATCTAATTAGTAAGATTATGTTAACAAGCTTAAAGCTACCTCAAAGTTTTGGGTAGTATGGTGTTAAAGCCTCAGTATGACATACGAAAAATTATGTATCTTGCTTTAAAATTGAATTATGATTGCATTATTATACAATTTTTAAATTTTTTATTAACATCATTTTGTAAAATTAAGACTTTTTCATTAAGTCACATTCCAGTTTTAATACCACACTTTCCATTAATAGTAAACATGTTGATATATTTCTTAAATTAGCTAATATAATCTTATATTAAAGGTAAGTTACTGCATTTTACAAAAAAAAATAAAATCACAAATAATTTGATATCAAATTTCAACTAAAGAAATTTCAAACTGACCATTGTTATTGTGATGCATTCAGAAATGAATGAGATATTCCAAAAACGTTACAAGTAATTCTCAGGATGAGTGTATTTTTACACCTTAAGTTGATGTACTAAAGATCTTTCTAGTGATCTTAAAACCATTTTTTTTTTTTTTCATTTTTAATTAGATATTATCTTGCATCTGAAAATAGTAGTAGTAGTCAGTATTTACACAAAACCTATAAACTACTGTGTTACAAGTTCATACTTACACTTTCAGTATGGGTAATTTTGCCTTGAGAGTTTTTGTCTTGTAGATGAATGTGGTCATATAGTTTTTGTCTATTGACTGGAGGTCCTGAAACAAGAACCGTTCATATTGTCATCAATTTATAAAAATATTTATACTGTAATAAATATATGTTATATTTTTTCATACTTAACATCACAGTCTACAGTACTTATTCGAATGTTTTTAAATACAAAAAAGTAGAACATAACCAACATACATAATAACCATAAAAAAATAAGCTGCCCAAACTATGGTAACTTGATTATTATTTATATTCGTTAACCCCTTAATTAAGATACAGGCATGCTTGACATGTTCTCTATTCCCAATAACTATTTTATGGGCACATTTTAATAAAATGTTTCTGTAGGGCCTTTCTTTAAATATCCTCAAGGTTCCTGGGAACACAAACTGCATGTTGGAAATAAAACAACCTTTACACTTCAGGTAATAACATTTTATTTCCGCCAATATTTTGCCATTGCAGCTTCATCAGGGTTAGTAGTATAAGAACCAAGATCCTTCAGTACATACTACAAATTCTATTTAAAAAAACCTATATATATTATTTTGAATTTGGGACACAATAATGGCCAAGGCCCAATATTTTATCCTCATAACTACTAAATATGAAAATGCTGCAATCCCTTTTAATTGTTTGTAACCACTATACCTTACACAAAATAATGTTGCACCCTCTAATGGGTAATAGGTACTTTATTTTGAAACAAATGTAGCCTTCTAGTGTAATGGCTTATTTAATTATTGTATCTTGAACTTTACATTATTGAATTTTTAATTCCAAAATTCTGAGTTAATAATAATAATATTATACCTTAAAACTGAAGTTGTAGAATCCTCTAGTGGCTAAGGTACTAGTCTTGCAAGTTTGATTAGGTAAAAAGCTACAGAAAAAGTTATATGTATCTATGCTGTGACTGTACCAAGGATTGAACCCTAAATTATGGCATAAGCCTTAAAGCTTACTGCTGGGTAGCCACAGGGGCTGAAAATGTGGTAGCTTTAACATAAAGTAATATATGTTGAATCCATGTTGTCCCAGTACACTACATTGTAAACCTAGCAATTTTTGTTTGATTAAATCTCAGAAAAAAGCAGCTATAAATACTGGCTTAGCTCTTTCAGCATGGGCTTGGTCCCATGGACTGACCTCATAACCATTTTGTGCTTTTTATAGTTTTCATCTTATAACTTTTAAATTAGTAAGCATATCTTCACAAAATTTTGCAAATTATCGGTAAACATTACAAGGCTTTCATATGCAAATATCCAATTTTTTTTAGTAAGTTTTAAGATTTTTTTAATTAATGGTTTTTGCATGCCCTTTTTTGTTTTTGAATGTTAACTACCCAACATGCAAAGTAATTTTGATTTTAAGATTAAAGATAATTTTATGCAACAGAAAATTTTAAAATTTCACATGCAAAATCTTTATAATTTTCAGATAATTATCAAACATTTTTTGAGAAAAAAAAACGATATTTTAGCTGTTATTTTCACTATCAAATCTCTGTATGGGTTCGTTGGCTTGAATGACCTTATAACCACCATAAAAATTAGGAAGTGAATATAAATTATGCTTTTTTTTGTTCTAGAATGACTACAAATTATAACAAAAATACAAATGTATAGTCTAAATAGCATAAATCTCATAACATCGTACATTTATATATATTTATTATTTTTATTATATTGACCATGCCTGGTTAACATTACACAAGTTGCAATGATGTGGTGCAGATGCACTCATGTTACTGTATCCAAGAATATAAAACTGGCCTTTACAAAGTGACCTGTCTTGGCTATGTTTTAGTGGACCAGTATTTTGTAAAATACAGTCACATTTCAGTTATAATACATTATATATGTATATCCATTACTACTATTTACAAATAAGTTCTTAAACTTATTTTTCTTAAATAAAGAAGTATAGCAAACAATTATATCTTCTAGTTACAAACTTTGTACTCATTTGCTGCTTGTCGTTGGTTGCTAAGCCTTATCAATTTCACACACTGAGGATGTGAAATGAAATAATTTTATATACACATTTTGAAATAACCAAAAAATCATAAGTTACTATATCAATGCCATAGAATTCTAATATAATTTATGAAGCTCAGTAACTAAGCTGTACTTAGGTCTAAAAAAAAGAAAGAAATATGAGCTCACTAAAGTCTTATCTTATCGCTTGGAATCTACCATGAAAAAAAAAAAGTGTTTGCCACGCGAATACTTCAAAAAGGCCGAGAAATCCACTAGGGGAACATTCTGAGGTTTCTATTGGTTATTCACACATTACAGACAGAAGTAGGTGTACGTAAGCATTTCCAAAAAATGTAAAGAGGTGGGCAGGGCCACTGTGTTTGATTCAGTAAAAATTACAATATCTCGACAAATAAAAAAGATAAAAGGTTCTTCTTTTATAGTCTAGCTTGTCAATATTGGTAATTTTGTACGAAACTATAGATTTGTATTTGGATATCACAAACATCTAATTTAAACCAATTCTACATTCAACATACCAAGTGACACATAAAAATCTATATTTAGGTGGTTTTCTTAAATATTTACTTTTAAATTAAGAAATTAACTAATATATAATACTAAAATTTGAATTATAATCTACAATTTGATACCAAACTTACTGGCATAAATTCATAAAATAGTAGTACAATAAGATTTTGAATGAGTGTCAACAAACGTGATGACATGGCCTTTGACCCAGGTTGATAGGGTTAATGTACCTTGTGTTTATAAAGTTAAATTGGATTATATTTTCTACCTAATTAAGAATGATGAGAGCCAATACTGCTTGTAACTGCAGTTGGTCATGGTGTGATTTTGTTAATCATATGTGAATTATTGTTTTCATATTGCTGTAAAATCAAATTTGGTTTTATAATAAAGAAAATAATACTAGTTCACATTTTGTTTACAAAATTGAAGAAGTTGTTAACATCTAAAAAAAAAAGTAACAAAAAATCCACAAATGAGACAGACATTCTATGAGACCAAATAACAATAAACTTACCAATTACACTTAGGAACACTGGTAAAAAAATTAGGCTGTGAAGTGTTCCAAATGCAATGATACCCACATACATTCTAAAATAGAACACTTGAAAGATTTGAGACTTTGCAAAGGCTAGAACCAGGATCCCACAGTCAGTGAGGGTAATACCTGATAAGATCTGAAACCAAAATAAACATAAAATACATAAAAAGTCCAAAAATACTTTACATTTTAACATTACCTTAGAAATTTGTTTTAATTATTTGACAAATTACCAGCTACTACACTTACATTGACAACAAAAAGTTCTGGTGTGATATTATGCTATTAAAAAAAAAAAGATTAATTTTCTTATGGTAACTGGGGCTACTATAAATTAAAAAAATTTAAACTTACTCATATCTAGAATTTCATCCAATATCATGTGATGAAAATTTTTAATGTTTGCGAGAAATCAAAATCATAAAACCACTTCAAAATGGAAACATTGAAGAAATAACAACCAAGTATCACTAACATCACTGAAATGGTGTTAGAACACAGTTAAAGGACAATAACCATTAAGTCTTATATTTAGGTTTATCAGAATTACTACTCACAGAACTTCCAATGCGTTCCAATGCATCTTGTGCTCTTTTGGTACGGGTACGAGCAGGACTAATTGCAAACAGTCTGGTTAGGTGAGAACAGAATTCCACAGAAATACCAACTGCCTGCAAAAAGAAAACAGGTTTACTCATACAGACTTCAATACATCTTATTTATTTTTACCTCACAAATTACATTGTTTCTTGTTTTTTTTTTATATTTACAACAAAATTTTAATTTAATTAACATTCTCTAACAATGAAGGTTCTTTTGCACTAAACAGCTATTAATTAATACAGCACCAATTTTTAGCGAGCACACAAATTCCTAGGATATGTACATGTCAGTTCCAACAAATTTTTTTAAATATAATAATTAAGCTAATTTCATTATCTGATCAGGAAAATGGCACAACAATAAGCTTATTGCAAATAAATTGTAAAAATAAGGTCTGTTTAAATGAAATATAGCCTTGAATTTTGCCATGAAGTAATGCATCACATTATTTGTTGACTAAAGATGCAAAGAAAGAAATTACAAACTACAACCAAAGTGACTAAAGACAGTGTGTAAAATGAAAATCACTAACCACAACCAAGTTGACTAATGACACAGCATTAAGTGAGATGTTCCACCAGTACATCAACCCCATCAGATTGATGATAATCATCACAATGGTAATCACAATGATAGCAGCTGAAAAAAAATCCAGTCCCAGTAACAGAAAAGTAACAATAAATATGGCAGCCAATGAGAAGCCCAAGCTCTTCAGTGTGTCAGGCCACATGGTAAGATATTGTTCATAAAACACATGAACAATGCTGAAAGATGAGACATTTTATGTAAACTCTAAAACGAATAATGCCTGGGAGGATGCATGTAAAAAGCAGTTGCTAATATTACAAAAATATATATACCTCTAATATACAGAAAAACACTGATAAATCTTATTTAATTATGAAATTATATGCTATTTCTTTACTTAAGGACAACACATTATTAGAGATCAAATGTTATCATAATAGTTATTACTAAAAATGTAGTGGAACTAAAAAAAATTCTCATTCTAACATTTTAAATTCTATACTCAATTTATTACCAAGCGTAATTGGATTTATACTTATTTTTTCTTTGTATATTTAAACCATTGGCTAAAATCCAGAAAAAAAGATTTACCTATAAGGAAACACACGAAGATCTGATTCAGTGGAATCAGTTCTGATCTGTTCAGTCAGTTTCTCTGATATATAACGTGACAACTCCAGAGCTTTGTAAAAGTCCTTGGAAGTTTTGAGGATAGTATGATAGGTCATATAGTGGGTAGCTTAAGAAAGAATTTGGTAATTATTTGAAGAAAAAAAAATAAACAGTCACTTTATCAACATATAGCTCAAATGATTATTTAAAAAAATTTAGTGAGTTAATACAGATATCAGATATCGTGAGAGTTGGTAACGTACCCATAAAAGATTATGAAAACAATTATAGATCATGAATATAGTGTCAAAAGGAATACTTCTTACTTTTAAAATATTACATCCAAAGTAGTATGTATGATTTTAATAGCAAATGCCTCCTGAATAAATAGGGCTCATCCAACTACTACTTTCATCATTTAAACTAAGACACTACTACTTATTTTTAGAAGAACCTGAAACTGATCTTATGTCACATTCTTCACATGTAAAATTGATTATGAGAATTTGACTACTTGTGTATTACATTCTGATCAAACATAAAAGAGTACTGGTTGTAATTTTAGTATTTCAGCACAAAGCAATTTATTTTACGTTTCTGAAAACATAACTTTCAAAAAAAGAATAGTATTAGAAGGGACCTTTTTGTTTTTGGTAGGTCTTTATTTGGTTCAATATGCATAGAGTAAAACCTTTTACCACACTTCTATGGGAACAATCAGGATATTGTACAAAACGTTTTATATTTTCCAAGTATAATAAACACAGTTAAACTTCCTTACCTCCCACCCTGACTGAGTTATTACTGTCAGAAATCAACTGTACAGCTGAGCTGAACTGGGCCTTGCCTCTGAAGTAGTATAAGAAAAACAATATCTTTAATCAATTTTCTATAGTCCACAAGAAACACGTCATTATTAAATATACTACACTACATTCAACTAGATGTTGTAATAACTGTTTTTAAGGCTGACATATATTATGTCATGTTTCACACTAGAGCAATACAAAATATATTTGGTTACAAAACTGAACTGGTAATAATAACCATTTCATTATAAATTTCAATTTTGTTAAAATACATAATGCCAAAAATTCTACCATCTATCAAGACATTTCAGAAAGTTTTGAACGACCAAAAATCAAAGTTGGAAGGAAAACACATTGAAAACATGAAAAAAAAAGAATGTTGTTAGTCACTACACAGATCAAAGTGTTTTGTATAGTTCTGTTTTTCCTATATTATTTTCAAACAACATTATTAGATAAAACATATAAAAATTATAAAGCTGATTATGGAAATGAAACACCTAACAAAAAGAAAAGAAAAATATGTTTACTAATTTTTGGCTTTTATCTATTTGTCTCTATTACAGTTAAGTGTTGTCAACTACCAGAAAACTTCCTATTCTTCTACAAGTGTCTCCTGAAGAGTTTTTATTGGCGATTCTTTTTCTAGCAGCATGTGAACTTGAAAGTAAAACAACGTATCATTTATGTTATTAGCATTTGGTAATGATTATCACTATCATTATATCAAACAAACCAATTAGAAACTGTCACTTACGCTTTAGCACAATACTCATTAGGTAGATCTTGTAAAAAGTATTCCAGATAATGGTTGAATTCTGAGCCAACTGAACGCATTTGAAGCTTAGCACAACTTTCACACTCTAAATCATCTGTAACAGAAAATCCTACATGAAATGTTATGATCTGTATCTCTGCTAAACTTAGTTAGTAGGTGCATACATAAACAAAAACCATTGATGTAATGAAACTCAGTTTAGTTAATTCAAACAGCCTAAGAACTAATAACACATATAGTGAATACTGATGCCATATTGTGATCTACTTTTCTTCTGATATGAACATACAATTTATAATTAATGTGAAACACAGTAAGGAATACTAGTGACCAGAGAATACAACATACACAACCCAAAAACTGATACTTTTGCTTCATAAAATTACATAGAAAACAAAAGTTAATTTAAACTCCTTTTATTATAAAATTCTTGCATCCTAACTGTCACATATATCAATTTCTACTAAATTTTTGTGATAATGACAGATATATGTTTTAAAATACATCTGGAAAAACAAAAGATTACCCTATGAAACTAATATTGTAATACACAAGTGTTTGAGGCTTAATAAATGCTGCTAAGTTTGATTTCAAGAATATTTTACAGATAATATCAAATACATTAAAGAAAGGCTTATTACAGCATATCAAATGAAAGTTCACAGAAGACATTAAGGCACTTTCACTCACTACCTTGTACAGTATAAGGACAGAATGTTAATAAAATACAATTTGACATGTTAACTAACCATTGTTTACTACCTCAGTAGTTAATTTAGAGCATTCAACATAAGAAGTAAATGTTACAAATAAAAATATTGATAAGTTCATTTACCACAGTTTGCTGCATAAGAACTAAGAATCTGTACAAGATATTGTAGCACATCCCTTCACCATTGTTAGCTGCATAAGAACTGAGTTTGTAAAAAATATTCTTATACATTCCTTCACCATTGTTAGCTGCGAGTACATACATTTACAATGTTCGGAGCATTGGAAGGGCAAAGTTTAAAAAATAAATTTTAACTGTGACAGATTTAATGCCAGTGTTTGTTTAGGTTAAATCTATATTTAGAAACTTACATAACCTATGCTGTGGTTATATTAAATCTATTAATCAAATTTCATGTTTATTCCATAAGAATGTATGAATCCTTGATATCTTTATGTTTACAAACATATTTTAATTGTTTTATGGTCCAGAAGATAATAACCAGAAAAGAAGTGTCAGATTAAATGAATTAAAATAGTTTTATTAAATAGAAATTATCCAGAGGGCCTATTTGACAATGGCATTTTTGTGCCAAATTATGGTGTAGGGTAGATAATAGCCAGTCAGAAGTGTTATCAATCACTACTGCATTTACTACATTGTTGCATGATAATATTAAAGAATAGAAGACTTTGAATGCCTGATATGCCTCTAGAATTATAAGATGAGCCAGGTGTTCTACCAGAATCACATGATACTCAAATTTAGCTTCATAGTGTTATCACATTTATCAACGTCGGAAGCTATACCTTTGACTGATATAACACACATCAATCAGGTACCTTGAATGCATAACCAGGAACGTTCACAGGTTTCGAATACTGCAGGCCATTCAACTTCAGAGGACTTAAACATTTGAGCTTTCTACAGAAACATTTTAGGACCTTGGATATCGCTATCTACAATCACTTGGAATTGATCTGATCATCGTGGATATTCAATAATATATTGAGGAATTTCTAGGTCAGATAAAGGACTCAATATTATTTGTGAGTTTCAAGACGTTTATGTGAATCATAACATGTAATAACCTTTGTTGTTTCTTGTGCATATATTAAAAAACATTCGAAATACAAAAACGGTGTACATCAAGCTTGTTGGCAAATACATATACTTGCCACATATCAATATTCTCACCATTGTTTGCTGCATAACAAGTGAGAGCTTGCAAAATACATTCTGACAGATTCACTCACCATTGTTTGCAGCATAGGAAGGACAGAAAGTTTTATTATGTTGTTCAAAGCAACACTGTCGACTCTTCATGTAGTCCAAGTAATCATCCAACCAACTCGCCGGTTGTGCTGCTATGTAAGTCCTAAATGTAAAAATTTCATTGAATATTACAAAATAAATGGGAATTTTGCTTTGCTACTGAAAACACCATAATTAAAATATATGTTTTAACCAGTAATTATGCAAGACTTAATGTATTAGAAAGATCTGGTAAAGATTCATTAAAAAATACCATTTTTTTTACATGACCTGGTTATTATGTATTTACAGATACTAAATATTGAATGTTAAGTTACTGATTACCACACTGTATTTCCTTAACAGATAAAATATCAGCAAACTGCAGAATTAGACCTGGACAACAACTGTTCTATTACACCCAAAATTCAGTAAAAAAGGAACTGTTTTGAAATGCATTTTAATTGTTTTGTGTATCAATTAAAAACCATATAGAATATATATATATATTTCAAAGACTTTATGCAACTTTGTTTTTGCAAATTTTGTATATAAAGTGTGAAAAAATGTTCAGATTAAGCTATTTTTGCTAGTTTTTAATACATTAACTGAAAGTGTGCATTGACTTTCTTTGTAAAATTAAAAAGACTCATAAGAATATTTTTTATTTACCATAAAATAACATAAAATTTTAAAAGCATCAGTATTCAATTAACTTTGTATCTTGTACGTGCCCAAAGACAAGCAAGGACTGGCCTAACTTAGACATCGGGAGAAATCCCAGTGGGCCCCCTTGAAAAAGTATGTTGTTTTGTTATTTTTATGACAAACTTGTGAGCATCTTCAAGTTTTTTCTGGTAAAATTTTAGAATCCAGTCCACCCCTGCCCAAAGATATGAATTTTAGAGGCTTCTCTAATTCAACTATAAAATGGGTAACAATTCTGAGTTTCATCACTTTATTAGAAAAAATACAATTCAAATAATAAGAAATATAAAGAGTACATTTACAGTCCATTTGGCTACTTATCTTTCACTCATATTGTCATATTACACTTAATTAGAAGGAAACTCGAAAATCTGAGACCCTCTCCCCTCTGAAAGAACCTGAATGATGCATTTTCAATTCAACCTCTGCATTCTGAATTCAACCACTCTCAAAACTGTACATACTTTGCTTTTACTACTATAAGTATATATAAGCTACATATGTACATTTGATCTTGCTGATTTCTTGCTTTGTTTTTACCCTCACAATATGCCAATAATGTGTCTTCATACAGAAGAAACATATTTTGTTACTACAGGAAGTACTGATACAAATATTAAAGTATTTTCATTATTAAACATTGAACAGGTTATAAATATCCAATATATAAAGCATCAAATGAGATGAACTAAAAATTCATGTAAGAAATTTTAGACATTGTGCAACAAATTGTAAAAAAAAATAAAAAACTTTAAGTTAAATGTCATTCTTGGTTGAATCAAGAAAGCCTCGCTGGATCTGCTTATGCAGAAGTTTAAAAGTTTGACAAAAATAATTTTATTTTCCTTTTTGAAAATTATGTAAAAAGAGTAAACTGAGTTAATTTTCCCACTGAATAATTACCTTTAAAAATGTGGTGTAACCATTAACCATATCATAATGACTATGTTGAAACACGTCAAATATTGTAAACTTTCATATAACGGGTACCAATGAAACACAAATGGAAAAATCCGCATAAAATGTGAGGAGTCACAGCATTGATAATGAAACATATATGTATTTTTCACGTATCAGTTAACATGGCATTTCTAATATAAAGTGTAAACATTTTGAAATTCCACAGTTATAATGACAACATACTTTTCACTGATGTCTGCTGCCCCCTTAATTTGTAGAAACAAGCTGTCATTCCTGCAGGATGGCAGTGCACAGAGTCTGTTCTGGTGTTCAATATCCGAGTAATTATACCCATCTGTGATAACAAAGTAAACAGGAGGTCCCACTGACAGGTACTGATAAAGGTACTTGAAATAATCTAACATGTAGGAATCCTAGGTGAGGACAAGGATGAAATGTAATTATTATCTACCTGTATCCAAGAAATGTTAATTCTAATAAGACTGGCACTTAGCAATATTTAAAATAAGCCACTTTTTTTTTTCCAAGTTCACAGTTTATGAACGTTTCCATCCGTTTTTATATAGTCTATGATAAAAAATCCTAGAAGTAATGCTGTGTAAAATCTCAGCATTCTGTATCAAACCACTGAGTGTCAAATATTAAAAAAAGTATCACAGACACTACTTTTTTCAACACCTAACTGATTTTACTGAATGATTTTTATCACTAAATGACAGAAAATTCAAGTCATTAGAAAATAAAAATACTAGTAAATGTAACATCTCTTGCTTCTCATATTCAAGAGCTTCTTTTAAGTTTTAAAAGCAAGTAAAAACAACAATATCTAGCACTGGATACAAAGACCCCCATGACCAAAACTTGTAAATCAGTTACACAGTAATTACCCATGAAATGACATGAAGTTATTGATTTCTTTGTAGCTTCAATATTTTACTCACTAAATATTATTGACATTCTAGCATGACTTTTGTTTTCCATATCGTCTATTTTACAAATAATTATAGTGTAACAAAGAAAGTTAAGTCCCTACCTCTGGCATTGAAAGATCCTGGTCAAATCCAATATCAATCTTGTCTATCACTGCCATAGAAGAACAGAACCAGGCCAAGAAAGCCAACAGCTGGCATAAAAAAAAATATATATATATATATATATATAT